TTGTATACCACTGTCTTCAGACCTTTGGTGTAGAGCTTAGATAGAGTTATTACCTTAGCACCAGGTCCGGATCTATGAAGTTCAGATTCCTCCAGGTGGGTGTTGTTTGGATCTGGCTGCTGTGCTCTACTTCTTTCTGCTGCAGGCGTTAGAGTTGAATCCTTTGTGTCTCTCTGGCAGGATGTTCTGCTTCTGAATCAGCTGGGTAGGTCTTACCTCTAGCCTCTTTTCAGGGAGTTCTGCTGAAGGGTTCTACGCTGGGCCTGCGCTCTGGGTCTATTCAGGATCCGGCAGCCCTGGGTTGTCTCACTCACACGCAGGGCCTGGGCTCTGGGTCTATTCAGGATCGGCAGGCCCCGGGCTATCTCATTCACGCCCCAGGCCTGGGCTCTGGGTCTATTCAGGATCTTACTTTACATTTTTTAATGAACTTTATTAAATAGAATGTTGCCTTAGTCATATTTCTGGTCCTGATTATTTCTCAACTAAGCATACAGAAGAGTTAAGAATTCTGTTTAAAATCTTACGCATTCCATTAAATAGAAATTTTGACATGTACATGCTAGCCTTTTTAAATAAGAAAAATTCTATGTAATTTTTTGTGTTCTCATAGTGGAAATAAAAATACTTTCCTTCAGTAAAGAAGTGTTAAAGCTGTAGTTATTCAGAAGATACTTTTTTCCAGACTAAACTGTGAAAATGCAGTTCTCAAAGAGAATTTGAAACTGAAAACAGAAGAAATTAGGACGCTGAAGTCTGAAAATGGAGGTAAGGGATAGTAGCTGGATGATTATTTTTAAATACTAAAGATGAGTTCTATAGAGTATCATGTAGTAAGAATATCTGCAATGAAGACAAAATCGCTAGTTTTTTGTATGTTTGTTACATTCTGATGGCAAGCCCACAGTGTAGGTTAGGTGAGGATGCAGCCGCGCTTCCCGCACTCTAATCTGAAGCCACCGGGAGAAGGGGCCTTGCCCCTGTCGCCAGGCCCTGCCCAGCCCTCAGTGGGGTCTCAGGGAATCAACCCCTGGTTCCTTTCTGATATGCCTACAAAGCAAACAAGGAGCAGCGCAGGTGACATGCTGCCCTGTGGAAAGAACACCTGGCTGGGGACGAGGCCCCTCCACGCACTCTGGGAAGCTGAGGCAGGAGAAGGGCAATTTGAGATTTCCTGGTTAATTGAGCTACTTAGCAAGACCATGTCTCAAAAAAAAAAAAAAAAAAAAAGGCTGGGAATGATATAGCAGAACTGATGCCCTAGATCCTCTAGGGTCACATACCATGCATACCCTCCCATGACACCCGCTGCACTGTCGCTAGCTTTTCCGTGTGTAGCCTGACCTCTGATGGAGACTGTAGTGCAGTCTTTGCTTGGAAGAAATGAGACACCACACAGGTGTAACTAGATAAGAGGAGAGCCTGGCGTGGTGGCCCACACCTATAATCCCGGCACTCGGGAAGCAGAGATAGGAGGATCGTTGCAGGTTTGAGACCAGCCTGGGCTATAAAGTGAGCTCAAGGCCGGCCTGAGCTGCCTAGCAAGGCCCTGTCTCAAAAAGACAAAAAGCAAGTAAGAACAAAAATAAAACCAAACCCTGCAGTTAGGCTCAGACCTGATAACCCTTCCTTTTGGTCTGGCCCTTCCTAGTTTTGAACCAGCGGTACTTGGAAGCGCTTGCCAGGCTGGACGTCATACAGCAGAGGGAGGCTCAGCGAAGCAGGTCTGGGGAGGACTGCGGCTGTGTGGAGGTGACCGGTCTGGAGGTAGTTAGTGGGGCTGAGGCAGGCTGCTTCCGTTTGGTGTTCTTGGCAGTTCTGGAGATTGAACCCAGGGCCCCGCTGAGCTACATCCTCAGCCATATTTTATTTTTCCTGGTATTTTTGTGGCCCGCTCAGCCCGCCTTAAGAGACGGAGCTGGCGTGGCATGTGCCAGGGATCAAACCGCGGTCCCTGAGCTTGCCTAAGCATGTGCTTTAGACCGTGGAGCTATCTCACTGGCCCCTGTTCTGTTCTCTTTTGCACCAGGAATCAAATTCATAATCTAGCACTTGCCAGGCAAACACTGTGCCACTGAGCTATATCCCTGGCCCCTTTTTTGTTCTTTTTAAAATGAGATGGGGCCAGGGAGATGGCTCAGTAGAATAAGTGCTTGTCTGGCAAGCGCAAGGGCCTGAGTTCAATCCCTGGTTCCACAAAAACAACAACAACAACAACAATAACAACAACAACAACAACAACAAAACTGCAGTTAAAATGAGTAGATGTCTAATATGTAGGGAACAGGTTCACCCAGGGTGGCTGTCATGTATACATAGCACCTCCAGAGTTGTAGGATTATGGGCAGGCACCACCACCACACTGGGCTGGGACAATTTCCTGTCCTGTCCTTGGCACTTATTCTGGGCTCGCACCATACTTAACCATTTGAGACCAGTGAGAGGCCCAGTTGCCCAGGTCAGCTCATCTGTGCCTGGTGTGACATTCTCAATGTTGCAGAACGTTCTTTCTGCCTGGATCAGTTCACTTCTCACTTCTACAGTTGTGATAGAACAGAGCCGTGTCTTGCCCCAGCAGGGCTTTCAGTTGCTGGAGAATGTCACTTGGCTTATCTCACCTCCACAGCGTTAGCAGATAAACACTGGGAGACGCCACACCCATGCTTTCCCACAGTGCGCCAGGTCCAGAGCAGCGATCTGGCCCTGCCTGGGGGAATGAAGGGAAATGAAGGAGCGCATAGACCTTCGAGGTCAGCCCGTCCCACGCGGAGCGTCTGGACGGACAGATATAAGTGCAGGATGTCTTACTGTAGCACCTCAAAAACAGCAAATGTTACCAAGTATGGTGGTGCATGCCTGTAATCCCAGCACTTGGGGGGCTGAGACAGCAGGATCCCTGTGAGTTCAGTGCCAGGATGGCCTACATGAGCGAGTTCAATGCTAGCCTACACTATATAGTGAGATCCTGTCTCAGAAAAGGAGCACAACAAAAAGCAACTGCTAATAATAAGCAGCCCCCAAATCAGGAACTACAAAGACGGCTGGGAATGTCATTCCTTGCGAAGGCCCTGGGCTCGCCCAAGCTCCAGCACTGGGGGAAGAGAAACTGAAGTGAGAGGCAGTTCAGACAACGGTGTTGCCATCACTGTGAGCGGGCTGCCTGGCTGGTAGTGTGCGTGGGTGTGGGGCCGAGTCTGCATCTTCCGGACACAGCTAACCCTTCTGGCTTTGCAGCTCGCAGTGCTGGGAGCCTGCCTCTGCCACGGTCCCGGAGGGAGTCCCTGTCCCTGTGCCAGGACAGCAGCATCCGCTCGGAAACTGGTTCTTCAGCTCAGACACGAGGTACCACGTCGTTCCCACAGCGGGTTCTTTGGGTGCTCTTCTGTTAATGGAGGAACACACGGACGCACCTGTGGTAGTCACCGCAGTAGGCACTGGCTCTGGGACTCAGACTTAGTGTACATGTGCGCATTCACCTGGTGAAGTCATGCAGTGAAGCCCGCAGTTGGTATTTTTTAAATTCATATTTCCCTCAACTATGTATGACCTTAAAGTTATAAAAGAAGAGCTTGGCATGGTGGTGCACACCTATAATCTCAGCACTTGGGAAACTGAGGCCGGAGGATCGCTGTGAGTTTGTAGTGAGTTCAAGGCCAGCCTAGGATACATAGTGAGTTTAAGGCCAGCCTGAACTGCATAGTGAGGCCAGTCCTCCCAGACCCCCCTGCCAAAAAAAAGATGGTAGAAAGAAAAGATGCATTTATGCTTAAGATCACTAGGACTGAGCTGGTGAGATGGCTCAGTGGTCTAAAGCACCTACTTAGAACAAGCTTAGCAAAGCACAGGGACCGTGGTTCAATCCCCCAGC